ACCAGAGGTGTTGCCCTCGGGGAAGCTCAATCCCAGGGGGAGCAAAGACAAGGCGAATCAACTCCATCAGAGCATCAGGACCCCAAGTCGAAAGGCAAGGCGGTTGCTGAAGAAGGTAACTTGAAGGTACTTTTCTCAAGCCCTCAACAAACCTTATTTGAAGACTCTACCTCTCAGGTAGTGATAACTTCAGAGTATCAACTTCATATCCCTTCAACAACCTACTGTCGACTGGAGTGGGTATCTGATCAACTCAGCTCTTATGCTCCAACAGACCAGCAGATGTCTCAGCTTAAAGAGTCACTTGACCAGACTAGAGTAAAAATTCCTCTTCATACTGTAGTGGTGGTGACTTTGACTTCCTTTCTGAAGCTGAAAGACTCGAGGCAGTTAGGGCTGAAGAAGAGCTAGAGCTTCAAAAGAAGCAGACTGAAGACAGCTTAAAGTTGGCCAAGTCACTAGTTGCTAAAGTCCTTCCCAAGAAAAAGTCCAAGAAAACGGTGAGTGTTGTCCAAGCCCAAGCTGAACTTCTTTCTATGGCAAAAGCTGAACGCAAGAAGAAGCTAAAGCTAGCGGACAAGGATAAGCAATGGAGCGAAGCAAAGCTGAAAAAGAGACTAAGTCCCCGCCCAATCATCAGCGTCAGCATAAACGGACGATCTAAAGACGATGGAACTCTGGTCTCAATGCTCATCACAGGGACAATCTTGATGCCGTTACCGAGTACCATTCCTACCTTGGCCGCTATGGATACATCAAATGGATGGAGATCAGACAAGCCATTCAGCAATCCAAGTCGAGACACAAGACACTTATCGAGGACACCATCAACAAGCTCATCAAAATGATGTCCAGGTATGTCAAAGTCCCTGACAGGCTAACTCTGAAGAAAAGTGGGAAGAAGAAAATGAAGCTCTCTGATCCTAATGAAGGACCATCCCTAAGGAACGAACATGAAACAAAGTTCTCCTTAGATGAAGCCCTGAAGGGTCATATGAGTGTCGACATTTCTATGTTGAATCTTGACTTTCCCGATAAGGGTACCTATACACCCAACTCTGTGCATTTTAAACCTGAGTTAGGAGTTATATTCCTTGACTATGAAGGTGAAATCAGATTTCAGAGAATGTCAGAGCTACATCTATGTCCAATGGATCACTTGGTTTATCTCTTGCTCTGGATAGATGATAGCATGCCTGGAAGAGTCGTCGATCTGAAGATACGAAGGGAATTCCTACGTCGAAGAAACCTTGGTGAAAATGTACCTGATTACATAGATCTAAGTGTTCTAGAATAAGATTCTCTT